GGCCACTGTACATGTACACTCTCTGGAATCGGGCGATGATCAGCGAAATTAAGGGGGAATTTCAAACGACTATTTTGCAACAAGGAAAAAGTTCAATTACGACGTACAATAGTACATTAGAAAGCTAAAATCTCAAGCTTTCGAACAAAATAAAAACATCAATGTCAAACCCAACCAATACCCGTAAAAATTGCGAACTTGCGTGGCAAGATTATCGGCGCTTGGAAGTGTGATTTATCCGAAAAACAAATTGGAGATACTCTGGGACGACCCAAATCTACTGTTCATAATGCTATTAATAAATACAAAGATTTTGGCTACATTACAGTTGTTGCCCGAAGCGGTGGATAATGATCCTAACCGGTTAATCATTTAACTTTTATGTGGTTAAATCGTGGTTAACCGATTTTATTAATCATATTTGATTGTATGCTAACAACTATTTAGGAACAACAGTAAAAATGGTTGAATTTTCATTCAAAAAAATAAAAAGATCAGAAACTGTTTTTGGATCAAGTTGATTTCATTTTTCTGTAAAAATATTTCCTGCACTAGAAAATAATCTTTCAGATGGAATGATGCGGGAATAGACAAATAATGATGAACTTTTCGCCATTGAATTGGATCATTTTTTTCAGTTGGAGAAAAATCAGGAAATTATAAAAAAATTCTAATTCTGATTTTATCAACTATATTAGTTGTAGATGAAATAAAAATACCAAAATTTTTGAAAAATTATAACATAGGAAAAGATTCAATTGTAGATATAGAAGTTTGTAAAGAAGGCTCAGTTCCATGTGAAGATTCAATAATATTATGTATTAAAGAAAGTACATGTTCTTTTTTTGAAGATGAAATAAAGGATAATGATTTAAAATGAAGATCTAATATAAATGCTAATAATCCAAAATCTTAAGGATCATTTCAGAATATTTTTATTAATTCTAAAATAGAATCATGAATTTGTATAATTATAAAACAAGTAAGTTACTAAGTTTATATCATATGTATTGAAAAAAACTTTTAATTATAGAGTAAAAAATTAAATAAGTTACATTACTCAAAAATTTTGTAGCTTGTTCAAATAGTTAAAAAATAAATACTAGTTCTTTAATATTTTTCCAAGTATCTCTTGTCAAATATAATATGATCAAGATATTCTCATCTTTGTAAATATCATAATTATTATCTTTTTTATATTGCTTTAGATATAAATCAAATTACTTGTTTTAATACAAGAAGTTATTCAAGAATTTTATAGATGAAATTCTATCTAGTATCAATATTTTGAATTGAAAAAAGTGATTTCTTGTTAGGCTAAAAAGCTTTTTGAATTTGTAAAAAATAACTTTAATATTTATTATAATAAATAAAAAAAATTTTAAGTATTTTGATCTTTTATAATAATTCTTAACTAGAATTAATTTGAAGTTTATTAGAAATTATCAAGTAAATAGTATGAATATAGTAAGATAGAATTGTAATTTCTAGTTTTAAAAAGCTTTTAATATTTTTTTTATTATTATTACTTATATTAATAAGAATTTATTCTTGCAAATTAATATATTAATGATCAAGTATATATTATAATTTGGTAATTATATTTATATTAATATATTTTTTTAATAAAAAATAAAACTTACTAAAGCTTAAAATTCTTAGTAATTTAATAAGTAGTAATATTAATATAAAATTAATGAAATTTGATCTATAAATCAGTTATAAAACTTATTTTTATTATATATTTGTCAAGAATACTAGCTAAAATTTATTATAAGAACTTAATACTTTGAGAAATTATAATTTTAATTATATTATTACAAGAAACTTGATATTATAAATATAATATAATGAAAAAAGTCTTGAATTTCTTGTTATTTAACAAGATAAATAGTTATAAATTATTAAGCATAAATTTAAAGAGTATAATAATTTTAATTAGATTATACTTTTTTAGTTTAGATCTTTATTTTGTACTTTCTATATTATATTTATCTTTTATATTATATATTTGAAGATTAATTTCATTCTAGATATATAAATAATTATTATATTTTTTAATTTCAAATTTAAAATATTAATATTTTTAATTAATCTTATATTAATTATTTCTTTATATTTTTACTTATTTTTTTAATTATTATTTATTTTATTTATAATTATTATTAATTTATTGAATTATAATTTATTATTTTTTAAAAATATAATATAAGATTATTAATTTATTTAATTATATTTAATTTAAATATTATTAATTTATTTATATTTTATATTTATTTTATTTTATATTAATATATCATTCTATATTATAAAATAATTTTCAGATTTAAATATTATTTAAATAATAAAATTATAAGTTTTAAAAATTAAAATTATTTATTTCATATTTTATCTCATTTATAATTATAAATAAATAATCTTATAACTTAATAGTAATAGATATAATTATTATAAATATCACTTTTTATATCTTATATTATATTATACTATATATATTTTATATATAAATCTTAATTTTAGTTACTTAATTATAATCAAAATAAATTCAAATTAATTTATATAATTCATATAAAAAATAACTAAACTTATTAATATAGTAAAAAATAATAGTTTTTCTAACTTGAAATTCTTTTCATTAATTTATTTATCTATTTAGGAAAAATCAAATATAAATATACTTGTCTGGATAATATAAGTAAAAATTATTTTTTTAGTTCAAGAAATTACAGAAGAAAAATATAAGTATAATATACTGTTATCTTTTTAAATAATATAATTTTATATTGATATTTTAATAAATATAAAACAAATAATAATATTATATTATATAAATAATAAAATATTTTTTTTACTGCTCTTAAAGATATCTTTTAATTATTATATTATTAGTAATATTTTTATTAATAACTATATTTTCTTTATTAAACTAAATCTATACAAGATTATAATATAAAATTTATTAAATAAATTATAGATATAAGTAATTTAGATCAAGTTATATATATTATAAAAGAGTTTAAATTTATCATCAAAATAAAAGTCTAGAAAATATCTAAAAGTTAGTTATTTACTATGATATTATTATATATAGACAAGATAAATTATTGAATATTTAGAATAAATATAATAATAATTATTATTTATATTAATATCAAAATAAAAAAGTTATTAAAATAATAATTTTATATATGGAATTAGATTAAGTAAAAAGTTTTTATTATAAAAATATTAATTAAAAAAATAATAAATCTAAAAATATATATTATAATAAGTTTGATTTTGCAAAAAATTATTATTTCAAATCAAAGATCAAGATTATTCTAGCAAAATAAAGAATAAAATTTATTTATCTAGAAAATAATTATGGGAGATATTAAAATTTAATAATTAAGTTAATAACAAATCAATTTGAATATTACTTAATATTATTGATAAAAGCTTTGTATAAATTTAAAAAATTAATCCTATTATAATTAAACTTATTAATATAAGAAACTTATGGCTATTATTATAATCAAGATTGATAAGTTAAAGCTAGATATTTATCATATCATAAAATAAATCTATAAATATTAAAATTGCAAAAATATAATTTAATTCTTTATAAATATTGATTTTTCATATTAATCTAATTATAAATTGGAGAAATAATAATATTATTTTTATTTATACATCAAAACTATTAAAGTATAAGTAAATAATAAAATAAAATCAAGATTGAATTATAATTCTATCTATATTTCAAAAGAATAGATAATAAAATTCTTTGTCATTTCTTAATGATACTGAAGAATAAAGAAAAATCACTTATACTTGAAGTATTAGAAATTAAAAATAAATATAAAGATACCTCAGCAACTATTATTGAAATCTGATACAAATATTGTTAACGCAAACAGTTTAACTGTCTGGTTATATTTTATAAAAACGTCTATGAGAACGTAATGCAAAATGTGTCATCAGCTATATAAATTAACTACTAGTGTTTCAACTCTTCGAAGTCATCTTAGAAAATATAGACTTGAAGCACCAATAAAAAAAGCAATCTCAACATTCAAACAATCAAATCCTTTTAATTTGTCTGAACAATTGGAACATAATAAGCTTTTAGTCACCTTGTTGCTCCGTTAAATTGGTGGTTAACTCATGAAAAAGAGTATCAATATTAAGTGCTATTGCTTGTGATTATTTCTATATACAAGCAACAAGTATTATGCTTTTTTCAGTTACTGGCTATATACTTACTCATACTAGAAATCGGATGTTACCTAAAACTACAAGAGCTATTCTTTGTGCTAAAAGTTTGATCGAAAATGATATTGACGAAAATTAGAATATTATTTTATTAGAATTTCAAATTCGATTTTAATACTTAGTATTTATATTTCAACGTCAATTAGATCTTTTTTATAGTTTAACGTTAATAAATACGAATATGCATTTAGTATGCGTAGATATATCGTAAATATATCAATATGATTTAATTTTGAATTAGTTACACATAAACTGATTAACCGAACCGAACTGAACCATCACACATCGCTAATTATAAGAGGAGTGTTTAGAGTTTAAAAAGTTCAGTTTTGATCTCAAACTACTGATTTATGAACACAAACTAAATTGAACTGAGTTTTTATGATTTACTAAAATCGTTTATCGGAACCAATTTGGAAACCAGTTAAAAACTGAATGTGGGCATTTGATGATCCGTTTTATTACATGTAAATAGCACAAATATTGTCTTTAAAGGTAAAGTACAGCAAAAAAACTAAATTATAAATTTTCGTTGTATTGAGTAGGAAAATAATTATTTTAGCAAATGATTCACGGATTTTTTCAAATCACGCAATTTAAAGATTAGATCATTATAATTTTTACGAATTTTAACATTATAATTGATGGTTTGTGGTAATTATAACAATAATTTACTAATTCTAAATACATCATATCATAATCCGGTCATAAATCAAGTCTTGAGGCAAAGAGTTGCACGAGCTTTTTCTGAATCCAAACGATTTCTTTCTGGATTGATTTTTGCCACACTAAATATTTGTTCACTTGGTATGCTTGTTGCCTGAATCACCAAATAATCACATACAAGCAAGAGGAACCCATCGAAGATCTGTAGATTTGGCTTTCCAATATCCACCTTTTCAAAGCCGAATTAAGATATTCTTCAAGAGAATTGTCATCATCAACAAATACACCACATGTTCTCTTGAGGTGATGACGAAAATAATTATGTGACGATCCAAAATTATAAGATTATATTGGTGTATATACACTAGTGTTTAATGGATAATTTGTTTCATATATATCTCTAACTTTTTTACATGCATTTTGCTTGTCAATTTCCAGTTCAAATGACATTAATTTGTTATTTGGATCAAGAACCACAGTTTCGTAAAAAGTTGTTTGAAGTTCATTCCAATTCTGTTTAACTCATTTTTTTTTGAAACTCATGTTTGCGTATTATTTAATATATTTTTAATAACCAGCAATACAGCACAAAGATCTCTAAGCGTAGAATGATTTGACGAAGAAAGAAGATTTGTTGCTTCAAATTGGTTCCAGCAATATAATACGTTCCTAAAATAAATAATAACTAGCTTTTTATTTAGAAATTTTACAATAAAAATATATTTACATCAAGTTCCTGACAATCTTGATATTAGGATATATATCTTTTATTGTTCAGTTGGATGTAACTAAATATCAGTAAGCTTACAAATTTGTTGCAACTTTTTAACATTATATATGTTGAGTTCCAGCATGTTTTGATTAGAGATGGGCAAAATGCGCGCATAGTACATCACTATGCGTACTATGCGCACTATGCGCATAGTATATACACGCATAATGATCTACTTGTACATATATAGTAATCAAAATACGCGATGTGAATTCATAAAACTAATGATGATTTTATTTTCTATAACTATTATA